GCCAGCGGGCGCCTCGCACCCCGCCAGGCTCCCGGGAGCCATGGCCTTGCTTCACTTGCCTTTTGCCCCTCGGGGGCCGAGGTGGATTTTAGAGACCTTCCTGGCCCCTTTCGCTGCGCTGATACTGTCCCACTTACTTTACTCTACTTCTCCCGGGATGACCTGCCTCCCGTTCCCCTCGGCTACCTGAGACCTGCCCCAGGAGGTCCCAACACAGAAACACAGATGGGGGAACTCACCGCCCTAGCATTTCTCCCTCCTCAGACCTTGTCCCCTCGAGCACCAGCACGTCTCTCTCCTGCTCTCTGTACTCGGTTACAGCACGGAGCAAGAAGTACGCAGACTGAGACGCAACCTGTGGCGAGAAACTTCTCATCTCTAGCGACTTTTTCTCCCCGCTTTGCTTAAAAATTGGCTTTCTCCGCCCCGCTACTCAGTTGTTGAGCTCACATATCAGTGAGTATTTAACAGGTTTTTTCAGTTTCTTTGCTACACCGTATGAAAAACTAGGCGAGAACTATCTCTTACGTATATCGCATGTACATGGTATCCCACGCATTTAAGACAAAATACTTACATGGGGTGTTTATGTCACCAAAACATCTCTCTAGTGGCAGAAAAGCCCCCGTCGTCAGGTGTCACGCGGCCACTACACGCACACTTGCTTACAAACATAACGTGTGCGCGTTCCCCCACCCCGTGCCTACTTTATTTCTTTCCCACCCTTGATTCTCGCAGAGCCTGGGAAAGCTGCTGCTGTTTAGACTTTGTCTGTGTCTAAGGCAGGACATTTTAACAGAAATTTGAACAGGGCTGGGGCAAAAAATGTTTTGACTGGCGTCATTTTGACAAGGACATCCGTCATCTGCTGTATAGATTGATAACACCTAAGTTAAAGGCAAACACGAGTAGGAAAATCCCCCGATTTTTATGGGTTATGAAGTTGGCTATGAAAGCCTTCCTGATGTCTTTGATCAATTCCATTGTGCATATAATATAATGAATATTCACCCTCCTCGCTCTGTTAATCCACTTTCTGAAGTTCTGCAATACTGCCGTTCCGCTGAGGGACCGGGGCGCGGGGTGGCAGTCCCTTTGCGCACTCGCTAGCGTGCGCATAGCGCGTTGTTGGATACACTCACCCGCAAACGGGCGCGCTTGGTTTCCGCTGTTTTCACTGCGTTAATACAGTGCCTCGTCCTTGGCCAGCTCCTTCCCGGTCACAATTTTATTCCGCCCTTTCCGAATCTTTTCATTTTTTTTAAGTGTGCACCTCTGCGTTATTGTTGTTTTCCTTACAGGACGTCTTCTAAAAATACTGGATTGCTTTTAGTGGCAGCAATCTCTAAAAATTCGTTTCACGCTAGAAAAACGTGATGAAGTGGGGAACAGCTCCTAGCTAATGGGCTTAAGTACATTGTCAATATCCGCACTTGCCTTGAGTTGTTAACAGAAATGTTCCATGCGGGTTCATATTTAGGAGGACTTTAATCTGTCACTGTGGGTTTTGTTACGGCTAGAAAAGTAGCGCTCCGAGCCATCAGGGTGGCAGAATAAAATTGATAGACCCCCTGGCACTTTGGGACCCAGCCTAACCGGAGGAAGGAGGCAGAAAGAAGTACAAGGCTCGCCGCCTTCGCCCGTCCTCAGGGCCGGGCGGGCAGCGGGAGACGGCGGCGCGGGGGGCGGCGGGAG